AAGACTGGAAAGAAGGGCCCAAAGATACCTCTGCCCGACAAAGTGGTCATTCATGAGCCCAAGGAGGAGGAGGAGACCATTCCGACTCAGCCCTACTCCGAGACAAAAGAGGCCAAACCGACTCCCGATCCCGGAATCATGAGTTAGACTCATATTTAAGATCCCTTTTTGTTTAATGAATAAAATGTACACTTAATTTCTTTAAAATTAATATTTAATTTATAGATTTAAATGCAATATGTTTTTATAGTAATCTAATTAGCTATAATAATTTGTAAATCATATTAATTAACATCGGTTTCAGTTTTTCACAGAATTTATTACAAATTATTAATTTAGTTTTACACAAATATTTTTAAAACAAGATTTAGATTACAGGTACCACTATTAAAACTATTGTGATGAAGTCATATTAAAAAGTATTTCCTTAAGAAATGGTGAAAAATATGGTAAATAATAATCGTAACCATTTCTGATCTCAATCTCAGTGATAATATGTAAATCGATTAAAATATTCATTAGTATTGAAAGTTTTTGTTGAGAATCGTATTCCGAGCGGTACTTCAAATACAGATAACGTTGGAGTAAATAGATATACAATTGCTGTTCGGCTCTAACAAGTGAGTAACAAACCATAAAAAATCATTTCAAAACAAAATCATTTCAAATAACAATCACATACTTAACCACATCTCTGTGTATAAGATTGGGTCGATTCGGATTAAACAGTACTATTGCTGTCAACTATTTATATAAACAAGATTATTAACCAATTAATTAAAATTTTAATTACAATTGCATACCAAATCTAATATAATAAAATCCCGGTTCCACTCCGGGATTAATTTATTGAAATAATTTTTATAAATTGAGTAAATGTTGCGTTTCTCAGGTTTTAATATATCCAGTTTAATCACAAATGAGCTGTCTGAATCCTGTATTGGTATACACAAATATTTACTAATATTAATTAAATATTACTAATATTAATTAAATATTACTAATAATATAACCAGGAAAACCTGGCGTTTATTATTATATACTGACCACAACTCCAGCCCAACACTCAGTATTTATATTATAAAGTGTGGAATACCTAAGAATAATAACCTCCAGAGACCCGTACTTTATGAGTGCCAACTGATCACCTGGACACATTTTATTAAACGTAGTCAAGTGTTTTGAGTAATTGATCAAGCGTGAGATATCCCTGCTAATAATCTCACCCGATACTCTATAGAGCTCTACGATATCTGTGATGTAATAATAGTTCTTGGTCAAACGTATATAAGTGAACACGTTGAATGTGTTGAACAACTCGGATAATAATCTGGACTCTAAATGATTGAAACTTTTGTGATCAGATAGTTGTTTGAAAACTGATTGAATCTCAAAACTCTTATATATTTCCACTTCATTTTCATACGAGTTGTTCGACTCATTGGTGCAATAGTTTGCAATTTCTGTGATTAGAGTCTCATCGATGTTTTCATTATTCTCAATGATTTTATCAATTAAATCATTTTCATAACTTTCATCCGGGACACTTTCTATGGGTGAATGGACTGCCAATTGATCGCATTTCTTAAGTCTTGTATTCATTGGTTTTTTCACTTTATTTACAGTGTAATCATATTTCAGATATTCTTTGCTTTTAATTAACTCCTGTTTAACATAAATAAAGTTTAAAACAATTTTTCATTCATAGTAAATGATATATAAAATAATGTTAAGCTGGCAAACATTTATAAAATCTACAATAATAAAGTGCAATACTTTTATTCAAAAAAATACTTACACTTTTCATGCCCTTTTGAAAACATTTATTCAATCGACAACTCGTACAGTACTTTCGTGTTTTCGTATTTACAACACATTTACCGTCGGAATAACATTTGAAAAACTATAAATTGAAACTTGTTTTAAAATTTTAGTAAACATTTTAATTTCTAAATAATTATTTACTTCGTAATGCAAAGCATTTCTACGAAAAAATACTTTACACGACTCACAAGTGATTGCCCCGTAACTCCGACCTAGATCATAATTTAATGGTTAATATAAATTATTACAAATTTAGTATATTATAATTATCACATTGAAATATCAAAATAAATTTAATTATTACCAACTGCATTATCGCTGCAAATATCACAAATACCTGGAATAAGTGGCATTTAAGTGAAAGTGTCTTGATACATGAATAATATTTAATAAATAATATTCAAATGGTAGATATTGATTTACTCGTGTAATTTAAGGCAATATAATTTGAATTAAAAAAATTGTAAAATACAGAAACTGTTTATAATTTTATTTCATGATAAACACCACAACAACCTGAAGGTTAAGATTAGATAATATTTATTTGAGTGCCTGTGATATAAACCATGATCATGAACATGGTACGCTTATTGCTATCATTGTTATCCCTAGTTCAAAAATATTTACCCAACAATTAATGTACACTTGAAAATTTATTAATTACAAAACATTTTAATATATGTAACTTGAAATGCAAAGTTATGAACCAATTATAGTATTAAGTTTAATATTTATAAAAAGTAATTCATCTATTATACTTAACATAATTCTCTACTCTTAATACTGATATTATGTAATTATTTTGTAGATTTTATTTATCCATTAGTGATATCGTAAAGAATTTCCTTAAGAATAGGTCCGTAAGTCTCTAAATAGAATTCGTGTCCATTTCTCTTCTCGATGTCACATATTATCTGCAAATCTTTCAATGGATTCATGAGTTTTGATAGTTTTGTTTGTGTCTCCAAATCGGATTTATATTTCACATTCAGATAGCGTTGCAGTAAATAAATATACAATTGTTGTTCGGCTCTGAATAACACAACAAGTAAAGTATATTATAAAAACATATATGTGTGATAGGTCATTTATTGCTAACTTAATAACATCTCTGTGTTGCAAATTTGGTCGATTCGGATTAAACAACACTATTGCCGTTAACTGTAATGAAATAAACATCAAACATTTATAACATGAATAGCTATACAAATTAGACAATAATTAATTACTACCAAGTCAAAAATGATAAAATCCCTGTTCCACTCTGGCAAGGTTTTGTGTAAATAATTTTTATAATATTGATACAAGTTACGTTTCTCGGACTTTAAAACATCCAGTTTTCATTAGTGATATCGTAAAGAATTTCCTTAAGAATAGGTCCGTAAGTCTCTAAATAGAATTCGTGTCCATTTCTCTTCTCGATGTCACATATTATCTGCAAATCTTTCAATGGATTCATGAGTTTTGAAAGTTTTGTTTGTGTCTCCAAATCGGACTTATATTTCAGATTCAGATAGCGTTGCAGTAAATAAATATACAATTGTTGTTCGGCTCTGAATAACACAACAAGTAGATTATATTTTAAAAACATATTTGTGATAGGTGATTTATTGCTAACTTAATAACATCTCTGTGTTGCAAATTTGGTCGATTCGGATTAAACAACACTATTGCCGTTAACTGTAATGAAATAAACATCAAACTTTTATAACATGAATAGCTATACAAATTTCTGTTATTAATTAATGATGGTTCAGTTTTTACTATTTTAGGGACAAGGTGAGACCGTTCCAAAACACATTTATTAAAAATATTATAACTATGTTCAATGCAAAGAGCCTGAAATTTTGTAGGTCAAAAAATAGTCCAGCCCTTGGATTATCCGAGTACTGCATAGATAATTCAATAATTAAAATATAGATATTACTTATCACTAAACAGTTGATATACTGACCCAGACCAATGTCCAGTATTCCGTATTAATGTCATACAGAATAGTATAGCGGAGTATAAGTGTCTCAAGACATCCATACTTAATGAGCGCCAACTGGTCGTTGAGACAAAGATTATTAAATGAATGCAAACTTTTGGCAAATTTGATCACATCCTGAATATCCCGATCCATACTTATGTTGGTAATGCGGTTCAGTTCATTGAGATCTGTTATTTCAATGATATTTTTCGTGTAAAACGGCTGATGACTGAAGACATTGGAGGCGCGGAACAGCTCCGACAGTCGTCTGAACTCGAGTTCATTGAAATTATTCATGTCTTGAATGTGGGTAAAGACTGGTTTGAATAGCATTTCCAGTGATGTTTTAGTCACTGTTTGGTTCAATTCATTTAATCCATTGTCTTCTGGGAAATGGGTTTCAATTTCATTGACAGCGATCTGTCCCAGAAGTCTACCATCATTTGTGTCATTGTTTTCGATGATTAGCTCAATATTTGTATCATTTGTAACACATATAGTGGTCTCAGTGTTATCAATGGTTTCGTTGTCTTGATTTACATCATTAGATATCTCTTTACTTTTTCGTAGTAATGCCTTCAAAGCAATTATATTAAATACTTTAAATAAATTTAAATTTGGTTTAACATCTTTAGACATTATCTGAAATAACTCACAATTTTCATGCCCTGCTCAAGACATTTAGTTAGTCGACAGTGTTTGCATATCTTTCTAGTTTTTATAGTTATGGCACACTTTCCGTCTGAACAACATTTGTAACTCTTATGATTGAATTAAAATTAATACAATGATATATATAAACAATCAATTTAATTAGTGTTTTACAATCAATTTTTAAATAAATACCTCATATTGTAAGGCATTTCGTCTGAAAAATACTTTACACGACACGCAAGTTATGGCACCAAAGTTTCTACCTATAAATATTACTTCAGTATTAAATTTAACTTGAATACTACAATAGTATATAATTAATTAAAATAATCTAGATACAATAGGTTTCATTCAAATATCATTACCGACTGCAGTGTCACCACACACTTCACATAAAAATAAAATCCTTTTTCGACGCATTGTCTCAAATGGTAAGACAATATTTGTTTATACAATCGGATCACTAATATTTATTTTGTGATATTTTTGTAAATACTCCTAGAAATTAGGTTGTTCAAATATTATTATTTGTAATTATAATTTACTGTTAACTAACTATTATATATTAATGTTTATTGATAAACGCCATTATGAATCAAAAGTCAAAGGTTGAGATAAGAGTTTTATCAGTTTATTATAACAGGAGTTCAGTATTCATTCATGTGATTGTGATATAAATATTATAATATAATATATTGATTGACATTACATATCTATATTTTGTTAAGACTAAGGTTAAGGTTAGAGATATAACAAGTAAGTAGAGTCTACTTAATTTATTAAATCATAGTAGAATTAGTATCTGTATTAAAAATACACCACAGTATAATTAAGTCATTGCCACCACCAATTAATTTTATTCAAAAAAGAACCACAAAAAATAAGCAGAATTAAATATTAAGTTATTTATAATATAAAATTGCTTGCACATTTTAATGAGATGTAATTAAATTTATATTTTAAAGTGTTATATCGTAAAGAATTTCCTTAAGAATAGGTCCGAAGGTCTCTAAATAGAATTCGTGTCCATTTCTCTTCTCGATGTCACATATTATCTGCAAATCTTTCAATGGATTCATGAGTTTTGATAGTTTTGTTTGTGTCTCCAAATCCGATCGATATCTCAGATACAGATAGCGTTGTAGTAAATAAATATACAATTGTTGCTCGGCTCTAAACCAGGTATAAATTAGGATACAATTAAAATACAGACTAAATCATATAAATAACTTATAATCCAATAATTAAACTAACTTTACAACTTCCCTGTGCATAAGATTAGGTCGATTCGGGTTAAGCAATACTATAGTTGTCAACTATCAAGTAATTAATAAATCATTAATATTAAGTTGTTTTTAAAATTATAATAAGTATTACCAAATCAAAAATGATAAAATCCCTATTCCATTCTGGCAAGATTTTATTTAAGAAATTTTTATAATATTGGTACAGGTTACGTTTTTCAGACTTCAACACATCCAGCTT